GCAATAAAATGATTGATAAAACAGACAAATAAAAACTGATTATGAAATCAGGAGAGCAAACAAAAACATTAGACCGCGTTCAAAACGTACAGAATATAAGATGGAAGCAGAGGCGTGCCAAACTTTTCTGCTGCCTGGGGCGAGTTTCTGATTATGACGCCCCTTATTCCTAACTCAAATAATATTTTGGGGGTTAAACAGATTATATATGTTGTTATACATGAGAATAAATAAATTAAAGGTCAAGTAAGAGAAAAACGTTTGTTTTATTGAATAAATCATCAAACTGAGCAATAAACTCGCTCGTATAAAATGGAACTCATTAACAAAATGGAAGTCACTTATTTCTATGTCCAGTGGCTACTTTGCTGTCAACAAATGTCTGAACGACAGCCTCCTCCACCTCGCTCGTCAAGAATTTCTTTCGATGCTATCAGAGCTAAACTTGAAAGGCGCTAATTTGGCATTCAACTTTGAGAAAGATCGTTTGCAATTAGCAATTAATTTTTTAATTTCGAGTAATAAACAACATGCAATGCAAAAAGTTGGAAAAAGTAGACGTTTTCGCATCCAGATTTTCTGCCATGGTTGTAAACTATACCTCATTTTCGCGTTTTTGCATGCTATTTTTTAGTTTTTGGTAATGTTTCAGAAATTATTAAATAGTTTAAGTACTCGTGTAACCACCTTTACAATGAGCACCAAAAAACACTAGGGATGGGACGACTCCGGGATTCGACGAGTCCGAGTAATAGGTCATGGACTCGAATCCTTCGAGTCCGTGACGTCACAACATAAAGAGAGAAAAACACGTTTTTGACCATGCTAAAGCATCGTGCGCTCACAAACATAGTCTAGAGATGTACCGATACCACTTTTATCGCCGATACCGATCCGATACCAGCTAAAAACGCCGATACCGATACGTCGATACTACAAAAGGGCCGATATTACCGATACTATGTAATTATTACTTAATTAGGTGTGCTGAGTAGGGCAGACGGGTTAAAACAATAGTCTTTGAGCGTTGTTCATAGTACACATTATTTCAGATCGAAAAAAAAAAGATATATCACATAATATGAAATTAATGTTTAGTATCCATATGCTTTAACTGATTAAGATACATTGTACAGTAACGCTAGTAATCTCGGTGTTCAATTAGAAAACTCATAAGCCGGGATGTCCAATTTGAATTTAATGTTAATATCGCGACCTTCGAATATCGTTATTCGTTTTAAAAGAATATCGAATATCGCCCACACATTCTAGCGCCGCCGTTCTACGTTCAAATTAAAAGTATTTTACAAATATTTTATTTAGTGGCTAATCGTAATCGTCGACGCAATAAGTCAACGCCAACATGAAAGAATAACAATCAGCACCGACAAAAAGAAGGCCCACCTATAACCGTCGAGGATATTTTTTTACTTTACTAATTTTATAATATTTTACAATTTCTTTATTTTGAGACAGTCTAGGCCCTAGGGCTAGGCGGTCATGTCAATATATCTATAAAGAAATTGTGTAGTTAAACAGAATTAAAATTAATACCTGTGTAGTGGGATAATTGTGTCGGAATTTAGTTTATCGATGTCGACGGACTAAATGACACTCGTACTTGACGACAAACAGTCAGAATTTATACCCGTGCCAAAAGTCCATGTGCCGTTAATAAGGACCCCAATTCCACTGTATGATTTAAAACTGGGCGCCTAGTTTTTGTTATGTGCTGTGTTGATATATTTTCTTCATAAAAACTATGTAATATTAAAAATGTCAATATAAAAATTTGACAGCGAAAATAGCCAAATTAGTTGAGCTAGTTTGGCTGATAAATAGCTAAAACACGTGAATCCTATTCTCTCGCGGGGGTAGGGACATGTATGGCTCATAGCTCACGATCTCTCCAGACAAAAAATAAATTAAAAAGTAGTATTCCAACTTATCTTTTAAAACACTCTGGACCATATCAAAAAGGTGAATATATCGGAAATATCGGTCTTAATCTAACCGATACCGATACATGGCCGATACCAAAAAAATTACCGATATTGCCGATACCGATACATCGGTACATCTCTAAAACATACATCGTAGCCAATGTTCCCTCTAATTTTTTGTATTATGTGTGCGCAGAAATTTTGGTGTGTGCGCACTTTTTTGGAAATGACTAATATTTGTGCAAAAACCAATGAAGAAATTTTGACGTTCTAACCGGGTAATAAGTGGGCCAACAACAAACTTTCTCAACCTGCCAACCGAGAACATTGTTACATTACATCGATTTACGTCTGTGCGCAGTAAATCTATGCGTGTGCGCGGCCCCTGAAAGCTGTGTGCGCGCGCACACTTTAGAGGGGACACTGATCGTAGCTCATATTTTTTGCCTAAAGGTTCCGTAAATAGCTGTTGAACCATTTTAGAACCACATTTTTCCTTTTTTTTGCGGTCTTAATACAAACGTAAACGTGGGTCAATGTGCGCCTTGGCTGTGAACTGGATTTCCAGCCCACCACCTTGCGTCAATTCTGGGCGGCTATTCAGAAATTCTTACATGTCAATATGAAAAAATAAAAAGCTTTTGAGTTTTGACTACAATGCTTTCCCATAATTTCAGATATTTCTAGCCGTAAATTTACCATGTCACGTGCACAAATGGTAGAGAAATGCCACTCGTCGTCAATACAATGTGGTACATCTGCTTGCAATTTAGTAGTTCATGTAAACGTTCTAAGCTTCCATGCTTTCCATTGCTCCCTTTTTAGAGAAAGGATTGCATGTAATAAACTCGATTTAAAAGAGGTATTGATGAGATTCCCCATTGGGTTGATCCAGAGTATGTTTCAATTTTACGCGAATCACAAATATTGCGCTAACACATATTTTATTGTGTACCACATGTATACGAAAAAGGATAGATAGTTTGAAGGCGACTGGCGCAACATCATTGTTATAATCGGTCAATAGTTTTAAACTTGTGTTATATTTTCTGGATATTTGTCGTCGTTTTTTATTAGAAGTGTTTATAATGCACACGGGCGATATTGATACAGATCTGACCTTGAATTTTACCTAGTTAATAAACAATGTTCTGCATTAGCAGTGTTCACAGTACGATTGCAGATGCAGTAAAATTCCGGACATTTGAGCATTTTTTTAAATTCTTTCAGGACGCAAAATTTAACCCTAAATTCCGGACATGTCCGGAATTTTCCGGATGGTATGGCAACCCTAAGCTAGATTGCGGCGGGTACGTTGATGTACTCCACAGTTTTATTTAGCAATCGGTCGCAAACTGTTGGTCTAGTTTTTCCGGGTTTTAGTTTATTGATAAGAAGTCTTCTTCGAGATTAAAATAAGCGACGGTAAATCTCGCTTTCGTTTACGACGGGAATTTTATTTGCGGCGGAACGAGGGAGTGTTTTTGAAATTTATGCAAATTTCGGTGTTTTTTGGGTGGTAATAGAAGACATATTATCCCTTCCATCTACCAAAGTATTTTGAGTTAGATCACGAAATTGCTACAGCAATGGACCTTTCCCCGAGCATGGACTTCCTTGTTTACTTCGTGACATTGGCCAATCAGCAAGATGCAAAAAGTGACGTAACAATGCCCCCTTTTCGCATCCGCTCAGACACTTTTCTCACTCAGACAGATTTTCAAGCGTGTTTGTAAACATTTCCTCGTTTTTGCGTTTTTGAACTCTATTCGTTACTTTTCAGTTGTGTTTTGGGAACTTAAATAAAAATCAGATAATTCAATGATCACTCTGTCTTTCTAAGAGTTTTAATTTAATTGCAGTAATAAAAATTAGGCTGTGATAGACTAGCCAGAAATTCTTTACCGGTACTTTTAAAAAACAGATTGTTGTATGCGATGAATCATAATGATGGTTTGAAACACATACCCCATTTTACAGACGCCAACTCGCAAAAGCACTCTTAAAATAGCCTTGACAATCTTGCAATGGTAAAGTATAGGGGGAATTTTCCGAGGGTCAAAGGTCGGGGAAAGGTCCATATTATGCTATTGTTTGCTAACCACGAAGCGGTAACAGTAAAGGATTTAGCGAATATTTCTATTTTTTTATCACGGTTTGAAGTTTCAACTCCCAAGAAAAAAAAAGCCTTTTTTCTATCCGGTTTGTGACTCAGACCACCACTTTTGAAAAAACTTTTTTTTTTTAATTGCTAATTGCAAGCTCTTTAAATAAGCTTTCCAACGAGCCGTCAGTGGGCAGCAGAGGATCATTCGTTTTTCGTTAGTCGATCGATTAGTTGTGGGGGTACAAATTCATAAAATCGGCGTAGCAAATACGATTATTTAATAAAAAATAAAAATCGCATGGAAAGGGTTAAGGTATGTAAGATTCGTCGGGGCAAAATTACAAATAAACGCGTAAATTAATAAAAACAGAATTGATTATAGACTCAGTAAAAATGACGTGGACTCGAAATCGGATCCGAGTCAAAAAAATGCCTGGATTTGACTCGAATCCGAGTCCGGATCCGAATCCCGGCCTATCCCTACTAAACACATAATGTCAGCTTTCAACGCAAACTCTACAGCTTGGTTCTGCTGCCCCCTACAACGTGCTGCCCGGAGCGGTTGCCCCCTTCTAAGCACGCCACTGGATAGAAGGTTTTTCAATTAGAATTGGTACCATTGAGGGTATATACACCTCAATGATTGGTACATGTTCACCAACGACTAACGACAACGACGTGTTCACTCACCTAAAATATTTGAATTATTAATGCGATAAATTACATACTGATAGTAAACAAAAAATAAATAAAAATTTGTTACCGATATATTTAGTTTTTGTTTCGTGATTTGTTTATTTTATTGTATATGATAATATTCATTCATGCAATTCATTATTTTTGTGACCAGTAAATTGTGACTTTTCAATGTACAATATGCGAATTTTGGGATCCAGGGTATTACTCTACTGTTGATTTCAATCCTTTATCTGGCAACCATAAATAAGTGACTTCAGTGGATCTCAAAGTGACATTCGCTTGCTTCCGGGCGTGGTTACGTTGTCTTCTACACGCGCTCTTGAAATTACTTTGTTGGTTATACCTTTATAGAGTTTGCTTAAATATTGCTTGACGTGGCTCTAACAATGAAGCGACAGGGTGAAAAAGACAGTCCTTCCAGAAATAAACGCTCGAAAGTACGAAATGGTAGTCCAACCCGCCGAACTTACAGCCGGCACAGCAGGTTCGAATATTATTGCTGAATTATGGCTTTCAGCTTCTTTTTTGTTATCATTAATGTTTTCCATATCAAGCGTCTGAGCGTTGCTATTGATGCAAACCAGAATGTTCAGATGTTGGTTCTGTAGAATATTGTATACCGGTACATTACCACACTGCTTGGTCAGTTGGTACCGGTACGGTACCGTACCGGTATCAGTCTTTTGACTGATTGATTATTGTCCCCAGGCTGCCAAGACTGCAGGGTAAATACTGAAATGAGCGAGATAGATGTGAAAATCATATCCTAATTGTCTGGGTGAAGTTTAGGCATTTCTGACTTCAGGTTTCATATTACGGTACTGGTACTTGAATAAATCTTGTTTTTATTGGCCTATTCCTTATCTATTTCATTATTTGCTTTTCATTAACTGTAATCATATAAATATAATAAATATTTTGGTTAGATGCTATTCCTAATTGGTCCTTTGGCCTCTCGCATTTGGGTACGTTTTTGAATATTTTTTTCGGAATCTAATTGCAGAATTGTAGTCTAAATATTGAATCTGATATTTTTTTCTAAAATCCTGAAATCTCCTGCGGCAATACGGTACAAAAGTCAAATATTTCCAGAATATTATAAAGTGCTTCAAAATGTATTTCAAGAATTTGCAGAATTCCATGATAATGTTGTTTTTGGCAGACTGAATTTGCCCAAAATGACTAAATTGTTTGAACCAAATAGATATTGTGCTGTTTTGATGTGATGAATTAATCACGCATGACTAATTTTCATAATTTTAACCAGACAAGAATTAGGTAGTATACAATATTATATTTGGCTCATAATATCCAAGGAGTCAAAACAAAAATCTAAGTTTGGTCTTCCTGGTTTTTCAAAATGTATTATTTAGTATTCTCTAAAATTTATTGAAAATTACTCAACAAGGTTGTCCTTTGGGGCTGAAATTGAAATATATATGGTAGTTCAATGACTAAGAAACATCATTCGCAGTCATAGATATGATATGAAAGCAACCAACTAACAAATATAGAAAATTGAGGAATTTGACTGAATCGATTTGGTATTGGTAGGAATGGTGTAATTTTATATTTAGGTTTTCAATTTTTATATATCAAAACTAGATAGGCTACATGGCCAACATACCCCCCAATATGAGAAAATCAATAGTTGAAGCAGATACGATTTTTAAGCTTTTTAAAAGTAATTCATTATCCAGAACGGTATTGTTGGTATCATTTTATCTATACGTCACCACGAATAAAGATTTTTTATTACAGTAAAAATTTCGAATTTTTGGGATTAATAAATTCTTTTACACTTATTTATTCAATAATATAACAAAACATGCTCATATAGCATCATGTCTATTGATGCTTCTAAGTCCTATAGCGATCACAATTACAAACAATATACCCATTATATGTTATGATCGATACAGCTTTTGCTTTTTCTAGATTAATGAATTTGTTCATCACATATAAAGTGATGCATATTCAAATGACAGAACTTGTTTTTCTTGTATACGTCCCTTTGGAGATATTTATATTTAGCAAAAAGTGAATGTTGTGTAAGAAGATTTGTTTTGCTACCAAAGAGTCATCAGCAATGTGTATACTTCTATTGTGTATTCTGCACTACGCTGAAAGTACTCTACACTTCATACTCAAAGCGCATAAGTGATATATTTACTGACCAATCAAAGTCACTGGGAATTATCTCTGCTTAAATTTGTTTAATATGCTCAACGAGCTGGAATATTGAATAAAAAAGGTTTATATCTGTTTACTGTGAGCAGTTGTTATGCTGCACAGTGCTCTTTTATCTGGAAAAAAGGTTTATGAACACCTTAATTCTAAGCAAATGGAGTATTGAAATTATACTTCCCTGTTTTGCTGTGGAAACGGGTTTTCTGCAGTGTGTGCGCTTATGATTGAGATAAAGGTTTATGAACACCTTACTATGCAATATGATAAATGTGAAAGTTTGAAAAATGTATTCACTGGTAACAAATTATTGCACCTTAGTATGCAATATGATAACTGTGGAAGTTTGAAAAATGTATTCGTTGGTAACAAATTTGAGACGATGTAAAAATGCATAAACACCTAATAAAAACCATTACCTAGCTCGTAACACTGAGATATTGAGAAAGGTGTCTTTCTGTGAAGTTACTGGCTGAATAATAGGTTAGGTTTATGAAACATTGTATCTTATCTCTTATAGCCCGCATCACAGAGATGATCGGAATGTTGGGAGGAGAAATTCGGCTTATGGGAAGAGCGAAGATTCATATTCACCTTCGCAGAGATTTACACCACCACCTCATCGTGATGATAGAAGACGAGAAGGAAGAGAACCGAGTCGAGGAAGTTACAAAGTCTTGTTGGTGAAGAATTTCAGCTCACAGATATCTGATGTCGACATAGAAGAAAGTCTATATTACGAATACAAAAAATTTGGAGATGTTTCTGTCAAGGTTTCTACAGACAACAGAGGAGATCGTGTGGCTTATGCAACATTCAGATCATCTGGTAGTGCAAATGATGCAAAGAATGCTAAAGGACATTTGGTGATGTATGACAGACGACTTACTGTTGAAGCGGTGTATGAGAGACGAGAAAAAAAGACAAGGACTCTTTCACCATTGCCGGTTCCTGACACTAGAGAACGTGAACCAAACTATCGCAAAAGATCACCCTCTTTTCAGTATGATGCAGCACCATCACCTAGAAGGCGATCTCTGTCTCCGGCTTCTGAAGGAAAAAGTTACAGTGTCCACAACAGTCCTACCAATACAGAACCAACCGAACCAAACATCCTTCCTGAGGATGACCCTTATGCCACTAGGACACTTTTTTTGGGAAATTTAGAGGCTGACATTGGCAGCGGTGAGATAAGACGCTGTTTTGAAGTTTATGGCAGAGTCGAAGATATAGACATAAAACGATCCCAAAGAGGTGTAGCGTATGCGTTTGTACGATTTTCCAATTTGGATATGGCATACAAGGCAAAAGTAGCCATGCAAGGGAAACCAATTTTGAAATTTCCAGTAAAAATTGGATATGGAAAAGTCTTCCATTCATCAAAGTTATGGGTTGGTGGTCTTGGACATTGGACATCATTAAGTGTTTTAGAACGAGAGTTTGACAGATTTGGTGCAATACGCAAAATTGACTATGAAAAAGGGACTAGCTATGCTTATATTCTTTATGAAAGCATTGATGCAGCGCAAGCAGCATGCAGCCAAATGCGTGGTTGTACTTTACATGGTTCTGACATTCGTCTGAGAATTGATTTTGCGGATCCTGACCCTGGAATGCCAGGATATGAAGCATGGTTAGGAAGAAAAAATTACAGTGATCGTGACTATCATGATAGAGGTGGTCATTCGAGAGATAAAAGGCATTTTGATAGAAATGATGATCGTGGGAACTTTTATCGAAAAGAACGCCCAAGGGAAAGATTTCATAATGACAGGGGTCGACCTTACGATCGGGGTAACATGGGTAATAGAGGGCAAGACGGTGGGCGGAGATCACCTGAGAGGTATAACAAACGTTCAAACTCCGACAAAAAGTCCTCACCCAATCGCGCCTCAGTTGTAGTCAGTGAAACTAAGAACAAAGGCCCACATGAGTTTGAGCGTCGGTATATTCCTGCGCAGAGTGAAGATGCTGAGCTCAATTTTAAACATGATCAAATGAAGATTGCAACAGATCTTCATGCATTATGCCAAATACTTAACCCGCCTTGCTGGGATGGTGCCTTTGTATTGAAGAAAACTGCTTTTGCTGTGAGATTTTTCCTACTTGATGGTGATGTTGGACTTATTAACAACATGATCACAACAATAACAGCTCAAGGACTACCTGCAAGAATTTCTTTTCTACACATCACTCAAAGACTAAGACAAGACGAAGATAAACTTCGTGATGTAAGTCGAAGACTAAAAGATCCCGACAGTAAAACTTGTTTGCTTTTGGCAGTACCTGGTATGCCTACAAACGTTAGTAAAGCAGACAGTGGTTCTGTTTTCACACAACAAAGGCCTTTGCGTGGCTTAGTGAAGTACTTCAAAGATAAGGATGCTGCCGGGGTTGTTGCATTCCATGGACCGAATCCACAGCCTGATGCTAAAAAAGATAAAGTTACATTGGGGATGCTGCATGCTTTCCCACCTGGGCAATTTGCAAACGATCATTTGTTTTCTTTGGCACCTTGCCTCAATCCATCCTTAATTATTGAAGAATACATGGTGATTGTTGTAGCTAGAGGTTCATCTGCTTCGTCATGATCAATGCCAACATATCAGTTTAGCACATTGCTACTATGACGATTGCATGTTTGTGTGAAAGGGAATATTGTTGGGTTGTTTTCATTTATAATCAACCAAGATTCAATTTTACAATTCCTGTGTACTAGTTTATTATTCTGAATCCAAATTCTTTTCGTTCTTAATAACAAGATAAAATTACAATATTCAATAAATTTTTCAGAAATTTTCCTCAAATAAATTCATTAAAATTTCTAATTGTAATCGCATGTGTTACATAAATGAACTTGCATGAATGTTTTTAATAATTTGGTTATATCTTATGCCAGACAGATGCTACCTTGTTTGTTTGCCTTGTTCATCATAAATTTTTTCAAATCAAGACTAGCTCCAGAGAATTGTGGTTAAATAAAAATTTTGAAACTAGTTTTCACATTAATATACTTTTGTGCGTGGAGAAAGCTGTGTCGAGCCTGCCGACATTTATGATTTTCAATTGTGGATTTTGGCATGAGGGAAAAAATCTCTTCATTAGCATTTCGTAGGGCAATAATAGAGGAATATCTTGGGCTTCATCTGACTCAAAAACATGTTCAGTTTAGCTGAACGAAAATTCTGGTCATTGTGTACTAGGTTTAGTGACTAGTATCAAACATTGATATTATTTGTTTATGGGAAGATCTAGTGGTCTTCGTGGTAAAGACAATTTGGCACCCGTTACAAATGTTGAAGACACACCTAACCGTGCATGATTCAAAAAAAAACTTGAACATTTGTTTTTCTGGTAGATACAGTCTCAAACTTTTTTCAATGCCCCAAATATTGAAGTCATCGAGTGGATCTCCAATTTCATTCAAACAAACTACTATTAAGTACAATAGTTCTGAACGGATCGGCCTCGATAGTTGATCAATAAGTGCTTATAGGATATGGCAACCAACTGATTCGAAATCAAGCATGTTTGTTTCGGCCATCTGCAGCTATTTAATTTACAACAGCTTCTACATTTATTTGCTTAATACTCGTTTCCGTGAATATCAATCAATTGAAAACAAAAGTATAAAGTATTTTTACAAAGTTGGTTCATGCGTATAAATGTACTTGGATGTTATCTTTTCAGTTCGTCTATTCTAGGGGTTTTCAACCTTTTTTCCCGTCAAGTACCCCCCGAGTCACGAAACAATGAACGCGAATCCCCGGTAATCAGACCCCGAACAAAGTTGTCATATACTGATAGATTGACTAGCAATTTGTTGCAACACCAATTTATTGACCATATGTAACTAAATTGAATCGTCTTCTTGATATTATTGCCCTTTTCGACTGCCTAACTAATGGATTCTTAAAATTTCTCCCAAGTTTCAATAAGCATAACTCTCTAATGCTCTCAGCACGCTGTCTTTAGAAATTTTACAGTTTGTACGCAAAGCTTTGAAATTAACATTGTTGCATCACAATCACAACAACGCAAGATCAGGTAAAATCTACGTTTCAATTGGCGTCTAGTTTCATTGGGCACGCATTTTCCCATGGTATCAATAAAGGATATTAAGAAACAGCAACATACAAAAACTCGACTGTCATCCGAGTACCCCTAGAAATCTTCTTGTGAACCCCTGGGGGTTGGCGAAACCCAGGTTGAGAACCCCTGGTCTATTCAATAGATTTTTTTATACTCCAGATCGTAACATAAATATCCAAAGTGAGACGCGAGAGATTTAAGTGTACCAATTTCGGAAAACGGTGTCATGAATGCAACGAAATTCATTTCGATCGCGAAATTCCCGATCAAATTGATTCGCCCGGACGTCCGCTAATACATAATCTGTCATTTCTGTACAATTTAATTGTTTTATAAGCTACGAACCAATTTAACTTTACTTATGAAGAGTTGAAATCAATGTCATAGATTAGTGATCTCTATTTTGGGCTAGCTAGATGATAAATGGGTTAAAAAAAAATTTCACTTTAAAAAGAATGTGCGTCATCGATACAATCAATACATACATCAACGAGAAACCTGCTATTTGTCTTAGTTCAGAGCCGAGGCAATTGTAATTTTCGATTTTATGAAAGTCTTGTCTAAAGACACGGATCGTATGCACCGAAAGCATTTGTAATGCTGCGGCTAATCTTCTCAATTCATAAAAACTAAAGTCGTAACTTCGGCAGGCACGAGTGGGCCGGATAAAACACTTCGCTGGGCAGGATCCGACCATCGGGCCGTAATTTGTCCACTCCTTTATTAACACAATAAAATCCTGACCGAATTTGAATAGATAATTAAATTGAGTTTAGATTTCCCGGTATTATAACGTTGATTCATAATATTCAACATTATGTATTTTGTTTATTGACGAAGAAATTCCTAATTCTACTAAATTCTATTGCTTATCTGGTTAGATTATAACATAATAATTCATACAAAATAAGTTCAAAATTATATGGACCGTAACATTATGAAAAATTTTAGAAATAATTGCCAAATTTGACGCTTATTAGAGCATTTTCTAAAAGCAGTTATTTTGCTTCACTGGTTAGTTTGTAACATAATAATTCATACGTACAGAATGTGTTCAAAATTATACGGAGCCTAACATCATAAATTTTTTAGAAAATAATTACCAAATTCGAGCATTTTTTAGAAGCGGTAATTTTGCAATGGTAAAAGACAATAATAATCGAAACCACGGTCGAAGAAATACCCACCGTTTTTTTCGCTTTTTGGCTTAGACAGTCCGAACATGGAACGTCAAGGTTGAACAATGTTCATTTGTTATAAACAAAATTTTAGTCTAGAAATAAGTCCCCTATTATGACGGTAGTCTACCGGGAACGTGCATATGATTACACATTAGCTCCTGTTTTCTGGAGCTGATATAACTTTGAGTGAAGGGTTCTTATCTGCGTTGATAGAACTTGCGCAAAGGTCCTTCGAAGTTCAGATTAATTCCACCAACAACATAATTTATCGCTCCAACTGCACCATATTGCTATATTTCTCTATAAAATATACTTAACGTTGTGAATTTAATGCAATAATAATGTTGTAAGAAGTAACCACGCAAAAAGAAACCGCACATGCATTGATGTTGTGCGACTCGATGAACATCCTATCTTTGATTTAACAATTGTTCGCTCAGTCGTAAGATTCGTGCACAATTTCTCAGGCTCAATATACGGACTACTAACTTCTGGAGGTTCAAAGGTGAAACTCTGTAAAATACATAACCGTTCAAAAATGTTGGCAATACAAGATTTATGGTGCCTCCCCGAAGTATGCGAACCAAGATGGCAGACATCGGAACGTAACATGGGTAACAGGTTAGGGTTAGGCGATAATTTTTTTCCAATTTTCCTTATTTTAGTCCTATTATCAGTTCGAAGACTAGCCAAGAGCCTCCCGTAGTATTTATACCTAATATTATGGCCTAACCCTAACCTAGTACACATATTACATTCCGATGTCCGTCATCTTGGTTCGCATACTTCGGGAGCCCCAGATTTATTCTGATACGGATTCAGGATGTTTATAAACATTACTTGACGTGGACACACTTAACAAAACACTTCCCTGTTATTGATCCGATCATAAATATATGGACACGAAAGCCAAAGCGAAGTGGTATGCGGGTATGCAATCTGTCACAGTAGGCTTCCGGTACCAAAGTCTTCACGACTTTGCTTGACCACCAGAGTGTAACGGTTCCATTACATTTGAACCCACGTACATTTGAACCCATGACAATTGCACCTATATGCTATTGCACCTATGGAATTTTTTTTGTTTCACGGATAGTTAAACCCATACTAACCCTAACCCATGGGTTTTAGCACCCGCATATAGATTGAACCCGTGGATATACGCATGGGTTCAAATGTACATGGGTTCAAATGTACGGTCACCGAGTGTAACTGTATAGCATGAACGCGGGACCGCCACAACGTGCGCATTTATTATTGCGTCATCGCACGTAAAAACGAATCCCATAGAGCTCGCAGAAATTTTTAAAATAAATAAAATTAATAGCATTCTATCGAAAAATACAATCTTTAACCACTGAAAATTTCAAAGCAATTAATCCGGTAGTTAATTAAAAAGGCAATTTTTGTCATGAAAAAAGAAAAAGAATACTAACAAGTTGAACAACAACAACAACATAATAACAAAACAATCCATATATATGTACATTTGGTGTCTAATAACATGCCTGTTCCGTAAGCTGTATTTACGTAACGTTTCCAAACTAAACGTACCTCAGAACGATAGTGCTGACCAGCACAAATTTGTGAATGTGTCATTTTTACTTCTCTTTTCCAGAATTCCCCAATTGTTTGATCGTTCCAAGTCATTAACTGCAAATCGGTACATGTGTTTGATATATATATCACAATATTGCCAAGTAATATACTGCTGAGCTGATTCAAATTTGCGATTTTATATTTCTCAGTGTATATCAAAGCCAAGCAGAACATCCTTTTAACACTCGTTGTTGTGAGTTATGATAACATGCCTAAGATTTGTCCATAATTACTACACGACATTATTCACTTTACCTTGTTTATAACATGCATTCCAGTCATTCCTGTGTATTTTTCTGGCTCTGTCACTTGAACATCATATAAGCCATTTATTCCTGCAATACTATTGATAATGTATTTAGTATGGATTATGTGCCTAAATTTCTAAGTTTATTCACAGGAGTTTACCTGAAGAAGGTTTTGCTAAATCGTTGTTGCCGATTGATTCTCATTCGATAGTTGGGATAATAATAGGTTTTTAATGTACTACGGGTGTCAAATAAAAATTTCAGCAGTTGGTAATGAGATGAACAACAACAAAATATTTTTCTGGTTATATACCAATTTCAGTGAGATCATAATAAGAGAGCGGATATCATTAACACCGAATTATTGACCAGGAGGTTTTTAACAAAATTTGCGATGAAAGGACAATTTAACGCATTACAAAAACATACATTTATAGTATATTTTAGAGCACATTAGCTAAGAATGTTAAGAAATTATTGGCCACGAACCCACGATAAACTGTGTAATAAAATAATTTCCAATGCGTTGGGGGTAAGTCAGTTGTAGAAAAATGTTCGGGATCACAATTGCAGATCTGGATATCCTTTTGCGATTACTTCAAACTTTCAATTACTGCAAACTTCCAAGTTTATATATTTGAACATAATATCTTACTTGTTTACCTGAACTTTGAAATGTTGAAGAAAGAATATATTTCTTTTGCCACAGGATTTGATGTACATTGAGAAAGGTCTATCTTTGGATAATAAAATGCAAACGCGGCACACATTTCCTGTTGACTTCCAAGTCCACCCTAAATAAAAATTGCCGAGCATGTAAGCAACGCCGGTAAATACGTATATACATATAGATATATACATATGCATCCCATAAAAATAATCACGTGCGACAAAATTACCGTTAAACCTCACCGCCTTTGTTGTTGAGTGATTTGCGTAACTGTTGCTTACTTCTGTCACCATCAAGTCCATGCATATGTAACAAATAAATTGTTGAGTGTTCACAAAACCGACATTTGAAATCGATGAGACCACTTCATATTTAGTTAATTTTCTTACAACAACTCATAAAACTATCAATTTCAACACTGTTAAACACCACCGGTAACTTACCAAAACAATATTCTTATTTCCTGTTGTGTTATAACTACATTCTACCGTAACATGATCTGTCGGAAATATTTCAGGCATGCTTTTATGGAACCTCATTTCTTGGTAATTGTAATCGTACGCCTTATCTTGAGAGATTATAGACTGCTCGGTACCATTTCTAAAAATATTTATTCACATATGTTTTGTTTGACAATGACTACAAACTGTACATTTCTATACTGTGAAGTCAATTCAATAAACCACACGGGTTCAATTAACAAAATACTTTATAAAATCTATTTATTCGGAATAACTTCGATATTGCTGATAGTACAACTAAATAAGATATTAGGAAGTTATTATATTTTCGCTGTATAATATTTTCACATATTGTTATTTGGTCTTCGTTTTACAATAAAAATTGCCTTACAACAATTTATGCGTTCAAAACATAGTTGAAATAATTTTTTATCCTATTGAGATAAATTTTTTAATTATTTCAGCACCCGTGAAGTAGTAGTTAGCTTAGTCGTTATAAAATGATTATTAATATAAACCATATTGCCTAATATTCGCATACCTGTAATGACGAACAGTAACGGATCTTCCTGTGATGTGTGTGTGAAGAAGCGTCGAAAAAATTTTGATAGAAGGAGTCTTTGAAAATTCCATAGCCTTGAAAATATGACAATTGCTACATATGTATACGTGCATTTTTGTGAAATTTTATAATTACTTTGCGTAAATAGTAAAGCAAGAATCAATTCATATTTTAACGTTCATTTCGGTGGCAGGAAACCATTTTGAGACAATTCTCAAAACAATTTACGAGACGTAGAACTATTTTTAGTTGGTGAATTCCATAAGCATAATTAAACTAATTTCCATTGCTCGACAATGGATGAATCATTCGAAAGCTTAGTAAACCCAAACTGACTTCAACTGACATACATTTGAAAATATAATTTAGGATTCGAAATCCAATCGGTCGATATGTATAGGCATGTCTTCCATATAGTAAAATTAGATATCATTCTAGGTATGAGCTGAACGATCGCTATTCTGAGAAGCCATGAGGTAAAATTAGATTTGTTACGCAAGGATGAAGATGAATTTCGTATTGCTTGTTCGACTAACTGTTCATAAATTTGTCTTTTTTTTATATTTAAGACTTACCCCCTTCCAGCACCGAGACTGGCAATGACCAACTGTTTTGAATTGCTGCGCATTTGGAGGAATAAAATGTTCAAATCCATCAATTGTATTCCCCAATACAATCAAACCTGCGTCGTATTTTCTCAATTCTGCTGTGTAGGTGAGTTCCACCCCTGAGCTGTCGATGATATCTGAGATAAAGTGCAAATTCTTGTTAACGCGTTTTTCGCATTGATATTCACACCGATTATTTTAAATACCGCTGATAAATTATCCACAATTATAACAACCATAACCGTGACGCACCCATTTCACATTCTACAGATCAAAACAAAATTTTCGGGCTACGTACGTTTTCATTGCGTTTCAGAAAATTCACGTATGACGTACTTGTCAGTTTTTTTACTCAAAATTAGTGCAAAAAGACCTACAATATAGTTTATATACTTATCTATACGAGCAAATATCAATGATGACTTATTATTCGATCAATTTATCTGATGGAAAATATGTTTAAATATAATAAAAATGCGATATTTCCGACAGTAATAATCTGCGATTACGACCTTTCATAACAAATTATGATTACCATTTTTTAGCATAGGATTATCATAATGTATTTGAAGTTGAAAGTATCTTGAATTCTTTTTTCCCCCAAAAGAATGTCCTACTTCAGGTGGAAAATGAAAGTCTGTTCCACCTATCGCAAATGCACTCACTAAAGTTCCGCATGTACTATAATGAGCCGGCATGTCTGGAGAATAGCACATTGTTCCATTTTCGTTGAGATCTTTCCTATTCTGTTAAAAAGTATTCAATTTGTTAGAAAATTAGGAAGAAGATCGCTACTATTGCTTCGAGAAAATATCGTCTTTATGAATTTACCTTCAAGTCGGTTCCACACTGGTACAAGATCATGTGATGCACTAACATTTCATTTCCTTTTGTTATGATTGGTCGTGCCTGAAAATCAAATTGAAGGTTCCATCCATGACTATCAATCAATGAAACAACAATAAACTCAGGTCATCGTTTAAGCGATCCGTGAAATTAAAGGTGTCGCATCGTACGATTTTATCAGTGATAACTAAATCAAGTCCGTACAATTTCACAATGATTGTTTCCACTTATTTTACCTTGTTGGCGGTTTTTTAATCCTGTTTGCGGTTGATGAATGTAATTGTCTATTACGATAGCGATCGGCAAGCTTAGTTTAGTGGTTTTGACAACCCCATTCCAAGCAGTTACACAAGGCTGTCCGTTCGTTACATATATATATATATATATGAATTACCTAATGTCTATTGATCAATAATTTGCACAAAATATGTTGGAGCCGCTTTCTAGTAGTACTAGTAATTTTTTTGTTGTCTCTGGAAAATATTCTCCAGATACAAGCATGCAAGATACAAAGGCAGCGTACATTCTGCATTTAAAAAAACGGATATACCTTTATAATGTGGTGTTTTTGGGGTATCACGGGAATTTCAATCAAATGACAATGGTAATAAGTGTCGACCACTGGAATCTTTAATTTATTGTTTGTCAGTAATATAGTTTTTGTCCCAGGTTCGTGTTCTACAATATTATTTCGGCTCGGTGATATATCGCCAACAAGAATTAGACTCAACGATCCTAAAAATAAAAAGCAATCTGTTGAACAACAATCATTTGATAGTACTTAAGTAGGGGCTCATTAGCACATCGTGATTCAACTTTTTCCAAACATGAACTTGCTTAGCAGGACGCACCGTCAGGACGTTTCTTTAGCTTCCCATACCTGGCGTTTAAATATTTTTCTCATCAAAAAAATAAAACTGAAAGACCAGTATCATTTTTTCTCTGCGTAATTTGAACTCAGCATAACTATGAACTCGTCCGTGTTGTAAATAATGAAATGCAAGCTACACGTTACCCATTGTAGTTTTCCGGTGTATGTCAGGTGGAGATAGATCTTCGTCGATTGGGTCTGTTTCTCCAAATGCCCAAATAACGCGTTGAGTGTCAGCCTGAGATAATTTTAGAAATGTTGCAAAAATAAGTCATATTTAGTATACATTCAGAATTCAGTGTTGCAAAATTTGATATAGTTATAAACAGTATATATAATCTGTCCGACATTTTTTTGCCTTATTTGTTGTAACTCAATCTTTATATCTGACGTTCAAAATGAGCTTGGTTGTTCTCGAATTTCTGATAATAGCAAAATAATATCTAAAAAACTTGCTACGTTTTAAATTGTTTTTATTAACAAAAATATTTCCCATGTTTTTGAAATAGGAGTTTCGATTATTGCTGAATTTGATCTTTTTTTAACCGATTTAGAAAAGTGTTTTTTTATTTCTATAAAAGTATGGTAATCAATATATTTCTTCTTGCTTACTGTTATGCTTCTATCATGTTGCTGATCGCAAGATTCCAGCGATCGTTTGAATCTAATCATCGTCCATCCATCACATTCCTTGCCCATGATCAATTTTACATCTTGCTGTGAATCTCTGGGTGGGAAACCATTTTCAATGCCATAACGATCCTGAAAAAAATTATAAAGTTAAAAATAGAACAAATAGTGCGGATGTGAATTCAACGTTATGTGACAGACTATAAAATTGGCAAATTAAAATTTCGCTGTGCGAGTTCAAATTGACTTTTCATGTCTTTATATTTAAATTCAACTTGAAAAAAATATCAGTGAATTACGTAAATTGTATGTTTGTGGTATTTTATAATTGATGTTGAATTTTTGATTATTTTGGATCAAATAAGAACGTTGTATTAATTGAACTGAAAATAAATATGTACGAAAAATTATTTTCATTTTATTGCTAAAAGTTCTGTAGTAATTTAATATTAATACTAGAATTGTTTATTGTTTGAATGACTTTTTAACGCTTTTTTTTTATATGAAAACCCAGAAAATTTGATATATATATGGAACGTGGTGATATTAATCTATTAAAAAAGACACTTTTAAAGCAAGCTAAACACTTTTTGTACACATCTGAACGTTTAGTTTAAGTTGGTTATTGGAATCAATTTTGGAAGTGTTGAAATATTTTTCAACTTCTCTATACTATCAACGTCTTATTACGGGTCACAATATAAAAAATATTACTGTTATATAAGTGGTTCCATTCTTAATCCAGCCCACAATTATATCGGCTCCATTCATCCCGCCATGCGGCGAAAACCCGATACCAATCCAGCCTGTAGTTTTCCCATGTACCTGTACAAGAAAACTTGTTATATTTATTATTTTAGATATTTACTCAGATTAATATTAAATCATTATTCATTTTCTTGAGCTAACGCTTTAATTAAAAGCACACACCTCCATTGTAATCGTGTCTTTATTTGCTTTCCAGTAAAGTTTCAAGTATCCATTCGCCAATGATGCTCTCTGAGAAAAATCCTCAGTAGAAAAGGTTGCCTGGTGACCATTTACTGACATTACACATAAACTAAAGAATACAATCAGCTTCATATTTTTTCTGTTATACGTAGAAAATCGAGTGTTGCGTACGACAATGTTTCGATTTTGTTAGAAAATTTATGAATTTCTCCTTTTATAGACCTTTCATATTATCGCGCGCTTGCCTAAATTCTGCCTCGAGCGAAAACATAATATTTATCTCATTGAACGATATAAACATGGCCTGAGCCGTCCCCCGTATCAAGCTTGATTTTTCATCTATTATAATTCGAAACTTTTTATATTTAGGTCATAAATATATAATTTCAGAAATACAATAAATAAATTTTATATAAATAAAATATATTCAAATATCTGCAATTACATTATTGTCTTTCTAATATTGACAATGAGCGTTGCCACCAGTTTTCATTCGGTCGTACTCAGAGCGGTGGATATAAAACTTTGTTGCGTGGTACGGATTGTTTCTTTTTCAGGAAATTTAAGTTTCTAATTTATTTGCGAATATGGAAAAAAACTTCTCAATACTCTATATATATACTGCCTGCCAAACGTACAGCGCATAACAACATGTTCTAAATCATGTATTATGTAAACTTTACATTGTAAACCTACTGTTTTATATAAATGTTACTCACAGACGTACTCGCGCTTGTTTTTTTTTATAGAAAGTCCTTTAACTTTACGCCTAGTTAATTAGAAATGGAGAAACGAGGTCTTGATTTTTTTTAATGAATTTCTACGTCTTGCTTTTAGTCTTCTTAGGTATTAAGCTTACATACATTAGCTGTCTTGCATGCTCTCATTTTTCATTTTATATCCTACTGTTCGTGATGGTGAATACTGTATTAAACTTTGTCAATTTTTCTAGTGATTTCAAATTTATATATTTTAATTTATATTTATATGATGCCAAGCTTCCGAATGGAACGCGGTTACTTTACTGTACTTAATTTAACCCATCACACCCGTATTTATTTTAAACATTACATTTTCTATACATTCGCTTATTCAAAGAGAACTTCTCTGCTTTGTCCACACTGTCGGAAAAGTTCAGTATATAGACCATAAAGACATATACTGCTAAAGTCATATGTATATACAGCCAACTCAATATACAAATACAGCCATTTGGGTGATGTGCAAATCAGTGGCGTATATACAGGGTTGCCATATCGTGCTTATTTCTAAGATCTGTGCTTATTTTCTGGGCCGCGTCTTATAAAGTAACAATGAGCTTATTTCTAAGAAAAGTGCTTATTTTAGAGTTGCGTGCTTATTTTGTCTTAGAAACGTGGATGAATCGCTCTTGTTTTGCGTACAAAGCAATTTAGACAACTAGTAAGCGTAACCATAACTACTACTATTGCGACATTGAGCAAGGGGGGAAATCAGTGCCCACAATACTACCACAAAACATAATAAGCATTGCGGGAAACCAAAGTATGAAGACTTTAGATCAGGGTTCGGCCACCTGCGGGCCATATCCGACCCGCGGACAAAATAATCTGGCCCGCAATGCTTCACTGAAACTGATACCTACGGATCGTTAATATGTTGTTCTTGTTCTTCATTATTAATTCTTTCCCCCATCGTTATCAAAAAATCGCTTTTGTTTTCAACTACCGAACCAAAATGAAATTTTCCGTGCTGAGAAAGGATTAGTGACAGGCTACCCATTTAGAAAATGTTCTAATTTTGGTTTTATTCAGCATTTCACCTGATGTCAAAAAGGTATCAAGCATAATGCAACAAATAGTGTTAGCCTACATTAAATGTTATTTGTAAATATTTTGCATAGTGAGACGACTTAAGTCCACGTGTTGTCGCAGTGTTCGCTCACTAATTAAAGTCTAGAACTTCAATTTCTAATCTGTATAAATAATGTGGTTCATCAGCCAACCGTTCAGTTTTCAACTTTCTCGAAAAATATGTGCTTCCCTGCCAAGATTTGTAACACTTGATTATGGCCCGTGAGCGACAAAAAGTTGCCTCTGCTTTAGAGATTGCGTGTGGCAGTGACTCCATAGCTTTTTGCAATTTCGGAGCTGCGTACAACCGTGTTCGAAGCGACTTCTAATGATCAAAATTGGAAGACTCGTGTATGATCTCCTTCTTGACGCCCGTGCTTATTTTTGGCTCTGGGTAGATGGCAACCCTGCGTATATACGTAAAGTTGCGCCCATGGCAAAGTTTGAAAATACGACCCACTGATCTCTGACTGTTAGATTTTAACGACTGTTGTTGAAGTGAAATACGTTCCAAAAAAGGCCCATTGTTACGTCACATTTTGCATCTTGCTGATTGGCCAATGTTACGAAATAAACAAGAAAGTCGATCGATGCTCGGGGAAACATCCACTGTTTGTGAACCCCTGGCCTAGTCAAACATTGCACGAGCCATGGCTGCCATACCCTAGCTACGCCACTGGAGTAAAAACTGCCAATTCATTTCATAAACATGCAATGTATGTATATGCATGCTGTATATGTGGTTGCCTCTACAAATTATATTTACATCACGAAACCTAAAAATTCGGCAGCTCCAAGCAGATGGACAGATATATCGAAAGTCGCAATATTCATAATAATGATTATTATAATAAATCACAATACTCCGCAACAGCAGATCGCTCATATAAAAACTCCGAAACGGCTAGTGGTCGAAATTACGAAAAATAAATGTAAAGTAGACGTAATAAAGTACCACAAAATAGTCATTCAGGGTTAAGCCTCCACAGAACACGTTGTCTGTGCGCATTGAGACATAAAACTGCCGATGTATGTAGCTCTTGAATACGTACAATAAGTTGCAATCTATGATGTCATAATGTCTCACAACAGCTGATAGTTGATAAAATGAGGAATGCACTGGGGATAACAACGACGTTGAAAATCTCTCTTCAGTTCACTATTCTTTGGCTCTTGGCAGTAAACTGTCGCCAAACTAATCAAAGTAAAGTTTGATGGAATTATCATTATACACGTTACAGTTTGTTTAATTTTGAAACGCGTCGCAACAGTATGAATTAATAAAGGTCGCCTGAAGTCAAAAGTTCAAGTGCAGAGCCTTTCCCCCAACTTGGAGTACCAAAGTCGTGATGTGATGCAAGTATATTTGCCCAATAATAATGGGATGGTCGTTTAATCTAGTGCTGATTAATACCACGCGTTCGTAATCCGCTACCGTGACGCAGGTTTAATATCCTTGGTTGTGTTATTGAGTATATGAAATATCGATATTCAGAATTGCTGAATGAGACGGCATTACGGACTTATACAACAAAAAGAATTGTACTGCATTGAGTTGATCATGCAATCGCAAAATTTTTTTTTCCCGATTTTTTAGCACTTTTTCCAGGTTTCTCAAATAATTCTTTATATTTGTATTAAGCCTAAGCCATATGTTAAGCCTATAAGAGTGTAAATAATTCGCCCCCCGCTGTTGGCCAAATATATTCCGACAAATACTAATTGGTTTATGTCGCTGCCTGTGCCAGTACTTCTCTTTCCAATCACATTGAAACGCTCAATCATATTTATACAGAAAGCCTGCTTTTCGAAGGTTTGCTTGACATTTTGTCTTGACAAACTAAGAAATGAATATTTTGTTCGAAAATACCTAAACTTCACACAGTGTATGGGATAGCCTGCTCGTTATTACTAAAAACAATGAAATCAGTATGTGGGCTAAACATTGTGCGGGAAAAATATGACATTAAAACAAATAGTTGCACTCAAAACGACCTGTCTTAATAACAGATACGATGACATCAATTGAACTACGGATATTCCATCTTTCGATTTCAAGGCATTGATTAATTTTCAATGGAAAATTTTCACTGAAAATGATTACTTTTTAGAGAATAATGAGAGCCACAGGTGGGGTTGCCATATTTTTTTGACTTCAAAGCGGGACGATTCAAGAGGCACGACCCCTTTAGCTATGATACTGTAACTTTACAGTTTTCGATTTTACTACATAGGCCTACATTTAAAGCCATCCCGGCCGTCTTGAGCATATTGTCATCGAGAGTTCATGCGCATATTCTCTGTCTAAATATCGGGTTCAGTTCGAAAAATAAAGGAATAGATGCTAACGATACAAATGATCCAAATTTCAATTTTTTTCATGTACAGCAAAAAGAATAAAGAAATAGTCTGCCTTTTTAATCATTGAGAATTTACTTATTCGGCCAAGCATGCTTTTCTGTAGATAACACCTCCAAAAAGACGTTGTTCAATGTTACATTCACGTGAACGTCCGAACAGGACCAATTAGAATTGCTTTTACATGTGATACGTTCGCTAACAATGTTAGCGGGAAACATCGAAACAAACAAAATAACGCATCCATCTTCAGTAAGTAGACTAGCGTTGTGCTACACAGCAACAACAGTAACGAGAACATGTTCGTGTATTATGCTGGATGGCTGAACGCAGTGGTGGGATTCAGTTCTATAGAACCGTCTCACGGAATTTTATGAGATCAGCGAACCGGTTAGCATTACTGGTTACTGTCAATGACTTTTGTAACAGAACCGACTGAAAAATATTACTTTTGTGATTGAACCGGTTAACAAAAAAATTGAATCCCACCATTGGCTGAACGTCAAAGCGGGACTTTTGACTGACTTATCGGAACGGCGGGACAAGACACTAAAAAGCGGGACGTATGGTAAGCCTAGCCACAGGGAGGGATGTAAGACCAGAGGTTGATAATCACTGCTATAGACTGATACTGGTATATGCAAGGAGAAAATAGTCTTGAAAAGAATGAGGTCTCCAGGTTAGTGTTTCCCATCATGTATTACATTATCCATCCATGAACCCGTGGCATTTTCCTTTTTCATATCTTTAAAGTATCTGAATTGAAATGTACAAAGGGTTTCAAGCAGAAAAAACTAAAATTTGAAAATATCATTTGATTCTCAGATAAGATCTAACTTTTTTAGCATTCCAATTCTCACCATCAACCATGCAATCCAGTGCCTTTGCAAGTTGAAAATATATCTTGAATTATTTAATTAAGAGTGAAAAGAATATACTAGGTGAATACAACTTAATACAATTAACGAATA